TATCCCAACTGTCGATGTTGCAGCGATTTTGCTGCATTTCTTCCTAACATGTGTGTCATAAAAGTTTTGCATCACCGATGGGATACACCGTCACTAATGACACATTAGAATATTTTGATTTAAGCTGGGTCACTCTAAAGTATTGTTTCATATCAAAGATAAAGTTTTCTAACTCTTTGATTTCATGAGCACCCCCATAACTTCACGGTCTAAGAGCATTTACTCTGGATAAGAGATGGCTGTGAAACATTCCTCCATTCATATGCATAGCTTGCATGAGTATCGAAACATTATTGCACAAACTCTTTCATATTATTTGTCAACCTTTTAACTCAGAATCTCTAACTGATCTAGTTAGGATTCCTCCTCTTGCAGACACTCTACCATCTCAAAGTGCTCCTCAGTTTCATAGATCTCCACTAACTTTCAATTGACAATGCTAAGTCATAGCTCTAACCTAGCCAATCTTTCTCTAGTGCTTCATGTTGTTTAGGTTACCCTTCAACATTGTATGAGTGAATTCATGCATCGTGTGAATATTGTTGCAAACATCATGCTCTTCTTGAATGACTTTACTAGTTTCTGTGCAAGTGCTCATTCGTTTCTCCAGATGTCACATTGTTGCTGCCCATTTTATGCAGCAGTGCTAGTTTTGTCATGTTGTCTTACCATAGCAATTTGATGTTTGCTTAACTCTCCCTGTGATCACTTTGTCATATCCTTATCTAGGATTGCTTATGAAATACAACACTCAAGTGATACTAGTCTCTAAGGGTCGTCCGAAATCTTAAACTCATGCAATCCACAAAGGACCTGCATAACAAAAAAAAAATTTATAAAGTTAAACACAAGAGTAATATGCTATAGTCAAGCACCAAAAGGATAAGATAATTAGGATCATAAACAACACAAAGCAATCAGCTTTTATTAAGCATGAAAGAATCCAAAAATGAGCTGAAGGCAAATGCAAGCCCAATGTACATCGAGCAATTTCATCAAACAGTACGTGAGAACAGTAAATATATTGTTGTAGGAAAATCTAACGGCGACATCGCATGCGCAGTAGAAGAACAGAAAACAAAAATTTTAGATTTCTCAAAAAGGTATTCGTCGTAATATGAAGATTGGTGCGTAAAATCCACGAAACTGAAAATCACATATGAGATGGTTGTGTTACCTAGGGAGATTGTGTATCCCTGAATTCCTGTAGATCTATGAGAGATGACGAAGGAGGTCAAATGTCCTCTCTAACAGTGATCCACATGGTAGAGAATACGAACATACTCATCGAATCGTTGTCCAAATCTCCACACGCCCCTGTTAGTTGAGGAGGAGAAGGGGAGAAGAGAACAGAAGGTGATAGCAAAAAAAGCCTAACGTATGGTCCTTTGGTTCCCTCATATTTATAGAGGCTTATTATTAACTTAACTTTAATGGATCCTACGCTATTGGGTACTGGATCTCCATCAAACTACCTAAGCCTCTTAGATTAGTGGGTCTCTACCCAATAATCTCTCATTGGCTCTTGTTGGATTTAATCCATATGATCCAATAATTCAATAGCTTATTGGATATCCAATAAGATAAGGGCTCTAACGGATATCTTATATCTGAACCTCTACTCATCGCAACACCTACATATGTGTGTGATCCTCTAGGCTCAATATCAAGCTGACCATGAGTTATACCTATCAGAACTTTTTCTAGCTCAGTGAATTATTATAGAGATAATAATTCACTCGACTCATCGACTATAGATGTACTAGGTCACTTCGTCATAATCCCCAGACGATATAGGGGAATCCAATCCATTAGACATGTCTATCCTCAATTACTATGTATCTATAATCCCTCATCCATCTAATACCCAAAGACTGTATACCGGGCATGGTGCTATCAAGCCCATATAGTTTCAACTCGAGTCTCGCTCGAATCGTATTCTCCCGGAAAACTCTTTCTCTCTCAATCCAAATGACCCTGGCTAGGGATTTATTTGAGCAAGAATGAATAAGATATTTCTCTCATGATAGCGAGAGTGGATGATCCTCTATTGATATTCAATAGCCCTTGTAAGGTTGGTTGTCACTCCCGATAACCAGCTATACTAGATCTGAAACTTCTAGACCTACAAGTTCGGTATCAAAGAGTGAAGTAATGACATCCTTAGTATCTGAAGTCTAAGGATCAGATACATCATTAGGATGATGGAATCGTTGTTTGACAATGAGGCATCATCAATCATCCAATATTCATTGAGCGGATCAACCAGTGAACTCATTCTCTAATGAGCACTTGCATTGTATCCCTAGTATCCCCATATGAGCAGTTATGAAACCAGTCACCTACATCATAGGGACAGGTATACGGTACTCTAGTTTGTCTGGTTATCTCGATGTTCCTCTCGAGTAATCTATGATTGGGATTATTTAAGGTTTGTGTTTAAAGACAAATCGGTATCATTATCATTATATATTTATATATATATATATATATATATATATATAATAAGTAATATAAAGTGTGAAAATACCATAATAATAAGTAAAACGAGTACATATCATGTCGCACGTATCATTACTCACGTGATTAACTTATAGGGCATCTATGATTAGCAATTGCATCAACCCTCAGATATATACCTAAGGTCTCATCTACCCTAGTGCTACACAAGAAGTTCCAAGGTACTAAATAGCTAACATTTGGTATCGTAAGGTTGTCAATAAAAAATCAGCTAGTGGCACATGGGAATGAGACTGTTATGGGTTATTTTCCCCTTTGCTTAGTCCCACATAGCAAAAAATAATTTTAAGTTTTACATGATATAAATATAAAATAAAAATACTAACAACAAATAAAAATGGGATTGGCAATAGTAAATTATGCCTCATATATCCTGTATATGAAAAACATAAGAGAACAATAAGAAACAAGAATTGAAAGGTATCATTGACGTTGGTCTACGATAGTGCATCCCAAGTGCTTGGCCCTAATAATCTAACAAATGGAGGTACCCATTCTTCATTATTCACAAGTATTTATGATGAGACTGGATCCCTCTCAGCTCATTTGATCCATAATAGAGTAGTAGTTAATTATTATCCCTAAGATAATCTAGTATGCAATCAATATATCATAGTTGAGGCAATGATCTCGAAAAAGTACTACCTGCTATAGAAATGTCCCTTCTAAATTTGCTGTTTTTGTTGGGCCTAGATTACTACCTTATTTTTGGAGATATAATTGTAATCTTAAAAGCTTGCCTAAGATTTGAACCCATACCAAAATCACCCATTATGATTTTTTTTGTTAGCTAAATATTACTTTGACAGTTAATTGAAACTTTAAATGACATTCATGTTTTTTTAAAATATTCACTATGATTATAAAAACAATAGGAGTATTTTGGGATGTTATATATATATATATATATATATATATATATATATATATATATATATATATATATATAACTCAGACTAATCGATTTTTAAATATGGATAAACTAGTGCTTTCTACATGGATATTAACTAGGCAATATATACATGTTACATTAAAATTTGCAAGGATATTTCAGATTTGCAAAGAATAAATATGCAAGAGCCTGAACTGTATAAGGAAATATGACAGACCATAAGCAATTTTGTCTACCATCAATGTTTATTTGCATACCAATTTGCACGCCAATTATCTTGTCCCACATTGTAGTTCCCTACGAGCGAGAGAGAGAGAGAGGAGAGCGTAGGCAAGAATCAAGAGCGGACATTTCACGACAAGAAACAAATTCCAAGGTACTTTTTATCTTGGTTTCCATGATTCTATAATTATATGGTTAGAATATTCAGGAACGAAAAAGAATTTGATTATTGGCCTTTATAGTTATCAATCTTAGTATGCTTCGGTTTCATCTTTACTATTGGAGGAATTCTCCTAAAAATAAATAATTTCTTGATTTATACTATATTGATTAGAATTTAAAAAATAAAAATAATCTATTTTTTTTACTATGTAGGGAGAGACCAACCGAGTTGATAATTAGTTGATGTATTTTGTAATAGCACAAATGAAGATGCTCCTTATATTGTAAATGAATGTGATAGCTAGTTTAGTTAATAAAGATTTTAATAAAATATCATAAGGTTATAGTTCAAATCTCATTTTTATCATTTATTTTTTTATAAAAAAAGAAAAACTCTATATATAAAATTTTTTATTATTAAAAATAGAAAAAGGAAGAGACAAGATTGAAGAAGACAAACCTAAGTTGAACCACTTATCACTTCCTGTTTCTTTGCGTCTTTTTGTATCAGGATCTGAAGGATTGAACCGGCCGGTCCATCTTTTCTGACATGCAAAAAAGAGTGTGAAGGATACACAAGATGGAGTAACCCTTACAGAAAAAAGGGCCGAAAGAGCTGAAGGCAATCCATGAAAGCAGCCTTAGAATGTCTTTGGCAGACCTAAGGCCTGGGCGTGGTTGGCATGATCTCATCTCACCTGTGATTCCATGCTGTTGCTTTTGGCCACACTGCCACCACAAAAGACACCTCCTTTGTCATCAATCCCTCCCTTGCATCTTTGGAAGAAACGTAAACTCACTTGCCCAGTTTGCTTTCTTTGGAGTAACAAATCCAATGTTCCTGCTCGTCGATGACGTGGAATTTGTCATGGTGCGGACTTCTTACGACAAAACCTATCTACATCTATTATATGTTTGTCTCGACCCGAGTTAAAAGATGCATACATGGATTAAGTACTGAGAATGTTATCTGTAAGCAGCTCGATCGGTGCATGTTATTGGAAGAGAGTAAAGCTTACAGGTATCAGTAGCTAGAAGAAGTGATCGTCCGAGTAAACAGATAAAGTAAGCCAATGACTCAGGGAAAAGGATGATAAAGATGCATGTGGCCCAGAAAAAGTGTGAGCTAGTAAGACCAGCTTCGCTGCCACACTGCCACAGGCGCACAGCATCTTGATAGTCCCACACAGAACGACAAAATATATAATACTGGCAACGTTGTTCGTTCCCAGGCAATAACGACAGTAAAACTAGCTGAAGCTGACACTGATCATGTTGGATAATCTCATGACACTCTTCAACAAAGAAAGAAATCGCTAGTTTAAGTGGAACATTGCTACCACAAACATGGCCTTTCTTGCCTGCCTCCTTTCTACCACAAAGCAAATTAGCGTCCGCAAAGTGCTGCTCATCAAAACCCACGCATGTTATCGTACATTTGTCTTCAACTCACACTGGCAGCGTTTTGACGGCTTACCGGGTACAGCTTCTCAGAGGAACTGACGAGCAGAAGCACGAGCTCACCGCCCGCCGTGGTGGTGGTGGTGATGGTGGCGATGGTGAAGGAAGAAGGAAGGTGAAGGAGAAGGCGAGGGAACAATGGCCGGATTGGTGGCATTGTGAGAGTTGCCAGGATATGGTGTCGGGGTAATGGAGGGCATGGGAAGAAAAGGTGGGGGTGGGGGTGGTGGACACTGATAGCACTTGGCGAAAAGGCCGAAGGTGTTGATCTGGTGGATGAAGTTGGTCATGCTGGCCCAACCCCCCAACCCGAACCCCACCACCAGCACCCACCCGACCACGAACGTGTTCATCACGTAAGCGCCGATCCACCCTCCGACGAACCTCGGCGGCCGCTCCACTGCGCTCTGCATTGTCACACATCAATACGAAACCATGTTACTTCTGCCTGCAGACTCCCAACTTTTCTAATCACCCTTAGAGATATGTTTATACATCTCCCCATAAACAATGAACTAATAAGTTATAACATATTTTTTCCTTAGCTAATGTCTTCTTCACTACCATGTAAGTCTCTGAATGCATATAATACATGGACTGTTATCAATTCATTTTTACCTCCTACGTATTGTAAGTAAACACGTACAAACAGATTACTACTATCTGCAAAGCTCTAGAAGAGAAGCAAGTTAACAAATTATCAAGATGAAGTACCTCGCGGGCTATGGCGGATCGGAAGGTGAACATGTGAGCGAGCGATGGGATGATGTAGACTGTGAAGCTGACGAGCAGCGAACCCACAGCCGAGTTGATGGGCCCAAAGAAGGGGAAGATGATAGCCAGGAACCATATGGGGATCACCACCGGCAGCCGCGCCGCCGCCCGCTTGCACAAGCTGCGGCAGTCGTGGAGGCCGATGGCCTTCTCCCACACGAAGTACAGCGGCGTGCACGCGAACCCGAAGGTGATGAACTGATGGATCAGCATCAGCACCACCGCCGCGTCACGGAACGCCGTTCGGGGCAAAAGCGAGAACGCGTTCGAGTGGTTGAGCAGCGCGTCGCCGAAGGCCCAGTACACGCTCGCCGCCGACGGCAGCGTGAGCGTCAGCACGTACAAAGTGGCCAGCAGGTAGATGGCCTTAAACTTCTGCGGCTTCCACATGGCGTGCATGATTTCCCTGTTACGTTCACGTTAACAGAACAGGTCATCGTAAAGTATAAGCATAATCTTGTATTACTGCTATGATTTTAGCTTAAAAATAAAGAGTAAATAACTTCTTTTTCTGCATGATCGAACAGCGATTTTAACTGGTTCGTGGAACAAATAAATGTCTTGTTTGTATGCACAAAGTGAGTAGGTGAAGCTCAGACTCTGTCGCAACACGTTGTGTACGTTTGCATGTCTTAGTCTGCGCAGATGGAGATGATGCTACTGCTAAAGTTAAAAGTAACAACAGACTCTATGACAGATATAACATTACGTTTTACGGGAAAGCTTGTTTGACTGTACAAGTATTGAATGTGATAGTGTGGACTGGTGGGATGCAGACCAAGAAACTGTCAGAGGAGGGAGACAAGAGATCAATATTGGGATATTTCTTGAAACTAGGAGTTACTATCCGTGTGATAAGTGAACCGAGAGGTGTAAATTAATGTTTTCAGGCACGTACATAACGGCAGAAGGAAGATGTGTCTAAATGCAACATTGCAACAAAGAAAACAACTCTGTGACATATAGGCACATGCAGTTCTTCCTGATAGCCAAAGGACAAGTAACTCAACTACGCCGGTTATCATTCTTTAGGGGAGCTAAAGATGCCTTAGGCTTTGGGCTCAGTGTTTGGAACTGGGAAAGGGAGATGGTCCCATATTCTACAGGTAGTCAAAGAAGCAGACAGGTGATGCATATATTACGAAGAAAAACCAAAAGAAAGAGATGGACAGGTGAGGAGAGGGTGGTCCGATCACATCACGTGGGCAAGTGTGCAATTTTCTTTGTATACCGATCTAGAAATTGTTGGCGTTTGCTTCGTTTTACGCTCTATGCTTGGAGGGAACCCAAGTGTTGTCGCCTTACACTGTGACAGCGTGCCCACCGAATGTGTAGAGGATGTTTGTGGAGCCTGTAAAGTAGAGAACCAGCTTCGTTGGCCCCGAATGCTTCACCCCTTCCACCTGCCGCCATTGCAGCGCCCAACCAAGCATCCCAAATTTTCAAAAGATCAGATCGAGAAGAGATGCAAGTTCTAGCGTTTGTGTTGCTTGCATACCTGACCATGGAGGAGGGAAGCGATGGCGAGGTACCAGGCGGTGTAGGTGGTCATGACCAGGCCCAGAAAGGACCATATCCTGTAGTTGTGGAAGGAGGGGATGAACACTGTGGTGGCACAGCAAGCTCCAAAAATATAAGTCCAAGTCCTCTTATCCAACTTGTCGTTGATGTAGTATATGTTGCTGCAGTCACAGGAGAGTACGAGGAATGGTTCACCACCACATCAACCAGCTATCTTTACTTCTACCATCTCTTTAATTGTAGGAAGAAGGTAGAAAAAAAGCATTCATACCTAGCACAAGCAATGAGCTGAATGACAGATCCAAGGAGAAGAAACGTGCAGTTAAAGGCCAATCCAACATTCCTCCAGTGCTTCCCAAGTAGCCCATCTAGAACCTCAAACCACTCCATTCCATAACAAAGAGTACAAAGAGCAAGAAAAACAAATAAGTCGCAGAGTTGGATCAATACATCAACTATATAAGCAAATTCAGCAGAAAAAGAGTTGCGTACCTGAATGACATGGTTCCTAAAGTCGACCTTCTCCCTCTCCTTCCTGGTTCTGTACTCCACATAGAGAATACTGATGAGATAAGCTGTCCAGCTCCCCAACAAGCCATAGAATAGCTGGAATAAGATTCCGCTCAACATCCCCAGCTGCGAGAAGGAGTAAGGCAGTGTAAGCAGCACCTGAGCCACCTGAACGACATCCAAGACAACATCAAACGTCGTTGCTCGTCTAAATCGAATGAAACGGAAGAGAAGAGATGTGCGAGGTCTAATTAGCTAGGAGAAGAGCCGGACCTGGTTCGAGGCACAACTGAACCAGGCATCATAGGCGGAACCACCGTGCCAGAGGAGGCCGGAAAGCCTGGACTTGATGGTCTTCTCTTCCCCATCGTGCTCCATCTCCACGTACCTTCCAACCATCACAGTTTCCACCACCTTATCGTCATTCCCGTTCGGCGTCGATCCCATCTTTTCCTTCTTGCCAACTCCCACTATCTCTGTTTCTTGTTGAAGGAGTGTCAGACGTAAGGAGATGGTACTTGATGTTTGGAGCTCACTAGGGAAGTTAAGGCATTTGGGCTTGAATTTATACCGCTTAAGGATAGATATGTAGAGAGATAAAGAGGCAATGTGGTGATGATTTTGTTTTGGCCTCTCTCACTTTATCATAGGCTTCGAGGCAGCGGAGTGGTAGAGAAGAGAGCGGGTTTGGTTTGGCCTGTTGGGTATCAGATGCATTATAATGTGCACTCAATGCGAGCGTGGCGCCACTGTTGCCCACGAGCGGCTCGGTCCGCTTCCCGAGTCAGAGTCCTAACTCCTCCTCGCCCGGACCGCGCAAGGGTGCGTTTGGAACAAGAGAGAGAGAGAGAGAGAGGAGGCTTGCACGAAGAAGGGCGCGGAGGCACGCCAGGAGATGGTGAAGAAAGTAGCAAACAGGGGAAGGGGCATAATTACAGCTGGGCGAGCGTGTTAACTTTATGCTCTGCCAAAAGATGAAGCTCCTCTCACCCTATTAGAAACGCCAGATAAAGTAGCTTTACCACAGGAGGCAACAACTTAGTTTTCGATCGACCTTTATCTCTACAAAGGAGATGTTTATATTGTAATCAATACGATACCATTTAAAAGTTTTATTATGATGATAAAAAAACTTTGATTCCAAATAATAAATAATTAAAAAAATAGGAGAAAATTAATGGAATACTTCCAGTGAGACTCGGGGGTGGGGCCCAATAGAGACCTGCCGGTGGGTCGAGCGTGAGCAACATTCCCCCCTGCTGTGTCCCCAGCCCTTTTATTTTATTTGCTTCTCTCGAGGGCCGGTGCTCCTCGCCTTCACCATCGGAACACTCGCCCACGCATTCACATGGGCCCATTCCTTGGACGTATCCACGACTGCTCTCTCTCCGTCTCTCTCTCTTTCTTGTAATCTTCCTCTTGGTTTTCTAATCTGTATCGCCGTTTCGATTACTTTGATTCATCCCTCGCACAGTTCGTGAGTTGCCATTCTCCATTCATCTGCAAAAGACCGACGCCTGTAAGTAAGAGTTGGAGCAACTGTAGCTTTTGGCAGGGAGGACAAGTTGGCTGCATCCTTATTTTAAACTCTAGCATAATTCCTTCGTACTAAAGCTTGGCAGAGTTGGTCTGCGGAGTGTAATGATAGCGATTGCGCAAGATTGCAACTCTTCCGCTCTTTGTTTCCATATGTATCTATTTAGCGAAAATTATTGATAAATAGATAAACTTGTGGAATATAATGACATCGAACATTAAGAATCCCAGAATGCCATCTCCCGGTAAGACCGAGGATGATATTTGGCAATCTCTTTTCATGATTGAGAAGAACGACAGCACGCCGCTATGATTTCATGAGTCCCAATTCGTCCAACCTTGTCATTTGCTAAGAGTCTATCCACAAGTACATATGTACGCCCGTTTTCTAGCTTTAGCTTGTCTGTAATAAACTAATGTTGTGCTCCTTTTACATGGTTTAGCAATCATTTGAAGCTATACAATCCATTTTGACAGAAGACAGTGCCTGAAACGTTTTCTCCATATACAAAATCTATACCAAGTGATTTCTTAAAAGCTTTGTTAAATCTGATACTGTCGATAGATCCCAACTTGGTATCAGCATAGATCATAGAACAGAGGAAGGCTGAAGAAGGCACAGGGAAAAGGTGGTGGAAAGCACACAGAAATCATCCCTGTTGAGCACTCCGCACACATTTCCATGGATCGTGGCGTCGCACACTCGAACGCTTGGCCTCATAATTTGCTCGCTGTTTTTGTAATCTTCAGGTTTTGGCGCACTAGGTGGCATCCCATCATGTAGTGAAGAGCTACTGTTATCTTGTTGTGCGCTCCTGAGGGTTCCTCTGACTGCCCAACACCAACAGTGGCCACAGGCTCTCGATGATGGCCCCCAGCGCCACACCAAAACTCACACCTTGCCGCTTCCCGTATGCGCAACATGATGGGATCTCTCGTCATCTTCTCTGCAACCAGCATCATGTTGTCTTCCTGGTAGGATCCCTCTTTTACCTCTTCTTTTGGCGGGGAGACACGAAGCTCAAAGCTCACTCTGCCTCGCCGAGACAGGGTGCAATTGTGGTCAAAGTTGGTAATCCATCAACCAACCAGCAGCATTCAACGAGGCCCTCGATTCATGCCAAAAGACAGGAAGATTTGTTCTGCTTTACTGGGTTCATTTGGCTTGTGCTCTCAACTGGCTTACATCACCATGGGGACCCTGTTCGAGGGCATGAGAAAGATGACGTGCTTTGTGGCACATGAAGGATTCCCCCCATTCCCCCCAGTGGAAAAGTTCGCCAAAATTGGAATCATAACAGCAGTGCTGCCTGTGCTCGTCTTTGCATCTCTGCTTTTGTGAGGGATTCTAACACAACCATGTGAGATCGTCATTAAGAGAGGTGGTGTGGGTTCTCATTGAGTTGAAGTCTACTGATAATCTTGCCCTGTGAAAGGTGATGATGATTACGGGATATTACTTCTGAAAGCAGGAGATGGTGATTATAATATCTCAGTAGAACAAGAATGTTGTAGTCCATTTATTCTCCATAATGTTAACATAGCTGCGATTCAAAGGTGAACAACAATCCGAATATGAAGAAATTATTCATCAATCTACTGATGGGTTTGAAATGTCTTCGAGGAAGCTCTGTTCTTAAGATTTGCCAACTCCTGGTTAAAGATTGAGCCTCGCTGAAACAATTGAATCAAGCTCTGCCTTCCAGGAATTGGTCTGAGATCTCTCCTCGGGTATTGTTGAGTGAAATGAAGACTATGTATCATGCTGCTAGTTGCAGCTCCAACATCATCTGAAACCTATGTAAATTCAAAGTTTGGTAATGGGCAAAGAGTGTGTCAAGTAATGATAGAGGTAAATGCTGACAAGGTCGGTTGTGCTTACGGGATGAAATAGTATCATCAGCCGTAGTAGTCATGTTGTCACATAGGCAGAACCAGCTCCGCAGTTGCAATGAGAAGTTTCTGCCAACAAAAGAAGAGACAAGGGAATCAAGCAGATGAATTGCAGGATTGTGTTGTGGTCTTTTGACACCATCTAAATGCAGATCAATCAGTAGCATCTTACCTTGTCCTCTTTGTTATATCTCTAGAATTGTGGCTTTGTTCTTCAAGGTATCCTATGTCTGGTTAAAGATTGAGCATCATAAGTGTTGCTGAGAGATGAACATCAGAATTACCTGTCAAAATCTTGGCGACTACGTCCATAAGGCTCCGAACGGGGAATCTCTTCAAGATGGAAGAAGGAAACAGAACAAGTGCTTACCTTCTACTACAATGCATCTCTATCTGTTGAACTGATTGCAAGAGACGAATGTCTTACCAGTATGCAACAAAAAAACTGTAACGAGTGTGCTAAGGAGTATACGGTCACATACCAACACTTTGCCTTCCAATCAAGCAATATCAGAGAATAGCTTTGATCAAAGGTACGCTGGTGAAGCAAGTTTAATGATCAGGTTTTGGTATTACTGCAACATCTACCAAAAAAGAGAAAAAGAATAAAGTAGGAAAGAAATTAAGGTACAAAATCAGAGTGTACGTTGCCAGAAATGCTTACCGTGTTAATCTCACCAACACCATTGTTCCTTTCTTTGATAATCTGTTATCCCAAATTTTACCCTGACAATTATCATGGGATGGTAGATATCGGTGACCGACCACGACTCCTCCATGCAATTCCAGCGTTCGGCAAATACTTGATTCTCTGGGGAAGTCACCATTAGGCAGCGTCTCGAGACCAGTAGGACTGAAGTTTTCAGCCATCAGTGAAGAACCCGGAGTTGCTCTTCTCTTCTCGTAAAGATCGCGAACTCGAGAGCGGGGTAAAGCAAGAGAAGATTTAGTGGAGAGGGCAAAAATCTAGGATAGCTATCTGATTGTCAAGCCATTGGAAGGAGTGAGAGTGGCATACGGATAATTCAGCTGCTGTTGCTCTTTGGGCAGCGAAGCAACACCAGTGAGCTAGACAGACGTTAGATTACGGAAATCGTCAATATAGCAGCGGAAATGAGATTTTTTTTTCCTTCCTCTTTGTTGGGGAAAGGTATAAGGAAAACAAATATGAAGCAAACAAAAAAATAAAGAGGAGCAAACATTTTAAAGAGATTGACATGCAAACAAATATAAGGGGAACAAAAATCTCTTTTATCATTTCATCTTATTTGAACAATGTTTCTGGGAAAAGAAAAACTCAGAGAAAGATCAGTAGCAAATGTATGAAGAAATTGATAGCATATAAGATTTCTTTAAATTTTTTATTCTGTTGAGAGAAATCCTCTATTTCGTTGAGGAAAATTCTCGTATTCTAAAGCTACTTCAGTCAAACTTCTTTAATAAAACTTTTTCAATAATTGTAACATCAATGTGATAATGGTAATGACCAAAGAACAGAAAAAAAAATAAAAGAGAATACAATGTAGAAAAAATATATAGAAAAAAAAAAAGATGATTTGCCTATTTTCTTCGGACTATATGAAAAATAGTTATCCTGATATGAGTTGCTCCATTCTGGCAAGGATTGTCACAGCATTAAGGTTGCAGATGAGGCTCTCGCAATCCGCTATGAACAAGGACTTTTAAGATTCGGAAGGTGATGCTGCAGCAGGCCCTCACGGAGGCACCACCGCGTGATGCACAACGATGTGAGGGCTATGATCTCCGCCTCATCATTGAATTGTTGAAAACCTGGAAGAGCAACCAATCCGCCAACTTGTGATATTGTCGATTCTCCTAAACATGGAGGCAGGAACGGTAGTTCCTCGAGGCCAGGGCAGTCCATGATTGATAATCTGCGCAGTCCGGGGCAGCAGTATCTCTATATTAACGTAGAGATAGACTCTCCAACATCGGAAAACCCCAGCAGAAATAGTGAAATCCCATTGGCTCTGTTAGACTAACGTGTTCCAGCTTGACTTGGAGGAATTTTTATGGAAAGATGTCCCTGGAGTTGATTCAAGTGCAGCAGCTGGTTGATCTCTGTCCATTCTTGTTGCAGACCTTATACAGTTTCAGCTTTTGAACGGAGTTTGCAGTTCTCAAGTTGCAGAGTTTGGAGATGGATAAGTTGAGTTAAACATCTGGGCAACCTTTTGATTCAGGTATTAGACAGGCCCAAGTAACGAAGATGCTTCGAAAGAGCTGTTGAACTCGGCAACACCTGTACATCGCAGTCGCTCAAATCCAGCACTCGCGGACGTCTCATCTCTTGGAACATGTCCTCAGGAACTCGTTTCAAGCCAAACTCACATTGTCACATCCACCTAAGAAGAGGATGGTGCGCATTTGCCTGAAACGCTTCTGTCGGAAGTCCTCTACGCTCTTCCTACACCACTGATAAGTGACGAGCTGCTGTTGTTTCATGGTTAACAGAGTTATCACCGACGGTGTTGTTTCATGATGACAAGTCATCATTTGTCTTCACTAGTACGAGCATAAGTAATCACAAGATAATGTCCACTCTCGATGAGTCCTAAAAGGATTCAAAATACTTGATAGATGTGGATTATGATTAGTAGAAAAGAAAATCCTTAGTTAATTAGGATTTATTATCATAAATATCTAATGTATTTTTACGTTTTAATGGAAAGTAAGATATGAAAATTTATTTTGGATGCTCTTATATTTCTCTCTCATAAATCTAGAAGAGTGAGAAAAAAAGATAAAATAATTTTTTAAATTTATGTAAGAGGGTATACAAGAAAAATTGATCCTTAAGTTGAGACTAACTTGAGGATCTTATGATTGATCTCACATGATAAAAAAATTTGATTTTCTCCATTGATACCGATAAAGAGTATCGAATTATACTAATCTTATAATAAATTTTTAATATTTTTATTATTAATTTATGATATATTTGTTTGACTTATAATTCTTTTCTCCTTCCTTAATAATTATCTCTTTGGGATATATCTCAATTACCAAGAAAGTAATCGACGTATTAGATTATAGTAGAAGAATAATTTGTATACATTATTTTGAATCTCTTTATTATATAGATATGATAAAAAGATTATTGGAGATAAAAAAAAATTTATATTAATTTTTTGAATTAAAAGATTTAAATAAAATTATGTTATATTATTTTAAAAGTGTAGATGATAGAGAATTTATGTCATGAAAAAAAAATACTAAATCAAACTTTAAGATTAGTTATGATTTTACTTTACGAGTGTTACTCAAAACAGAAATTTCTATTATAGTTAGAATTAAAGTTTTGAGTTTATATTTTATCAATAAAAAAATTTACCTAATTCTTTAGGTAAATAATTGGGAAAAGAAATGATGTAGCATCAAAAGAGGCTCAGAGATTGTAAGTCGTCCTTTTGAATATATATTTTTAGTTTTGAAGTCACTCTCCTATTCTTCTATATTGCACTCGAGATATTTTCTTATATGATATTATTCGATTTTTAATAATATTGGGATTCTTGTATGAGCTCATTTTTAACCATCTATACGTCATGCCCCTAATAAGTAAAATCTATAAAATTTTCTTTTAGTGTTCACATTCTTTAATAAAAAAATAAAAAATATATATATCGTAATAGTAATCACGTAAATAAATACCTTCAATATTCTCCAAATATCATCTCAACTTTATTTTGTCAATCGAAATATACTGTCATCTAAAAATTAGTAAAGGGAATAATACACAAAAATGCAAGTAGTAATAAGTTGAATAAATAGGTACATTTATAAGAGTCAACTATCATTTGCATGAATATAGTATGAATAAAAAGAAAGAAGTGAACATCAATAGGTGCATATCATGTAATAATGAATAGTATTTAAATTCTATAATTTATCATAAAAGCAAACATGAATGATAGTCGCTAACAAATAGATCTTTTTTAACTCTTGATACGATTTAACTCCTTAAATATTTGATAGAGAAAATTCCTGTCGAGTCTATCATCTTTGATGATCCATTAATCCTCTAATAGAATCAATAAACTGATCTCCTTACTCATCAATGGGAATAATCTAAATGATCAAAATGATACTATTCACGTAACGTGCATCGTATAATAATATCACATAAATTTATCTTGCAATCTAACTAATCAAATGTTAGTATACCAAAAGCAACACACACAACCTAATCAGATATCAGCGTACCAAACATCAGTATACCCAAAACGACATACATAACAAAAAACATGTTGATTCATGCATGAACAATATGTATACAATTTTTCAAATTAAATAGAATCAACAATAATATAAAAATTAGAAATCCAAATAAAAAAATATTAATCCTTTGTGTCTTTCCCATCCCTTCATATTTTTCTTTCTTTTTATTTCTTTTTTCCTTTTTTTCCTTTTATCTTCTTTACTTTCATCACTGTCAACCTCGGTGGTTAACGTTGACAAGATTTACATTTTACATATTTTTTTCTAAAATTATTAATATATACATATGTTAATATCGATTAAGGAAAGGCGGTGTAAGATTTTATTACATCGAATTTTAATTCTTCAAATATTTCTAATTATATTTACGTCCTTCGTAAGTCAACATCTATTTAATCTGTATGTAACGGTCTCGTCGCCGGAAGTTTAAGCTTCTTTCGCCATAACGCGGGAATCCAAGCAGCCGCCACCCGAGCGCTGCACTCCTCGCGTCGTCGAGTCCGATCGCGAACACCACTCCCCCTTCCTCATGCCATCAGCCTCCTCCTCGTCCCACCCCCCTCCCTCTCCCGGTAACCCCTCCGCCGCCTCCTCGGATCCTTCGACCGGCATCAGAGACCTTGCCTGGAACCCCTTCGCCGATGTCGAAGACGATGATGCGGAGGCCAACAACCTCGCCCTACCGGCCCCGGTCGAGGAAGGTCCGGTTGAGGAGACCCTCATCTGCGTCCCCGGCGCCATCGTCTACCTCATCGACCCCAACTACAGCATCGAGCTCGGCGCTGGGGACTTCTCCCTCGTACGCCTCCGCCAGGGCGACAACACTCTCACAGTTCTCGCTGTCGTCGGTGACGGCCTTGTTCGGTGGCCCCTCCTCCGCGACGAGATTGTCGTAAAGTTCGATCACTCCCACTACTTCTTCTCCCTCCGTGTTCCCCCCAACTTCCTCGACGATGACGACGGCAACGACCTCCTCAACTACGGCCTCACCTTCACCTCAAAGACGCAGGAGAGTCTCCTCAGGGAATTGGATTGCCTGCTCCAGGCTTACAGTAGTTTCTCAGCGCAGGAGATAGCGGTGAAGGGAGAGGATCAGGCGGCGACGGCGTCGTCTTCGGCGATGATACAAGTCCTGAATGGATCGGTGGAGTTGGAGGTGACGCCGGCCGAGGGGATGATGAAGGAGCGGTCGGCCGCGTACTGGACGACTCTTGCGCCTGACGTGGAGAACTACAGCAGCACGGCGGCAAAATTGGTCGCTAAGGGTTCTGGGAAGATCATCAAGGGGATCTTGTGGTGTGGGGATGTGACGGCGAATCGGATTAAGCAGGGGGAGGATAAGCTGAAGGGGAAAGTGACGCCATGCTCAAAGCCGGCAGAAATCAGCAAGGCTGCCATGAAGAGGATGAAAAGGTTAGCTTCGGTCGCTTTGATATGATTTCACAATGGAGTAAATTGAATCAGAAACTATTTTAGATTAAAGAAATAGTAAGTCACAATGAAGTAAATTGAATCAGAAACTTATTTTAGATTAAAGAAATAGTAACATATTACTTGTCATTTCTAGTTTTTTTCACTCCTATGTTTTTATTTGCAATTCTTATGCATGTCCATATATTTGTTTAATAAAATATTTCTTTTTATGGATAACCCCTTTTGTTATTTGCGACTTGAAAACTTTTAATATTTTTAGGAGACATCGGGAATGCTTTTAATTCATCCCAATTTTTTTCTTTCTTCTTCTTCTCATTGTCGTCATCATTATTATTATCCTCCTAATAAGGTTTCGATGTCAGCGACTGATATATAAAATAAGTTTTAGAAACAATAATGATTGAGGGGATGTGAAAAAAAGATATAATTGATAATTAAGGAATTATATTTAGTAAAATTATTATATATTTTTCTTAGATGATTATATAAAATAAGATATCGAGGTTGGCAACAGCGATATTTTCTTTCCCCTTCTTGGACTTTTCCTTGAGCATGCTTTTATCTTCCACAGGGCAAAAAGGATCACGAAATTGTCAGACAAAGTGGCAAATGGAGTTCTCACTGGAGTATTGAAGTTTTCAGGGACTGTTACAAACTCTATTGTGACTTCAAAAGTAGGCAGTAAGCTTTTCCGACTCTTGCCTGCCGAGGTTGTCCTTGCTTCTCTAGATGGATTTGGTACGATTCTACTTCAATTCCCTCTCCAATTGGTGTCTTAGATTGGTGTTTTTGATGTTCTATTTTAGAATGTTGATTTTAGTTCACATAAATCTAAAAAAAATACAAATTTATTAGATGCTCTGTTTTTATTTATATTCTTTAATATATATATATATATATATATACATATTTCATTACATCAAATAACATACATTACGCTTATCTATTATTTATGTAACACGAGATGTTTATGTTCATATTTCTGTTTGTAATCCTTAATCTCAAATAATATATGATATCAATAATTATGGAACTACTAACACTCGGTTATTCTCCTAGTTGGGCTAATAAATTAACCTTTTTTATGGGATGCCAACAGGTAAAATCTGTGATGCTGCTGAAGTGGCTGGTAAGAATGTCCTGAAAACATCTTCGGAAGTGACTACCGGAGTTGTGTGTCACAGGTCCGTTTTAATTATTATTATTTATTTAGTTTTCTCAATCTTGAATTTCTACTCGATAAGATGAGGGATTTGGCATTGCTTTGGATCGATCACGGTGCATTATAATATGTGTGCATTGGAACTTTGGTGTCGCAGGTACGGTGACGAAGCAGCCAAAGTCACACACGACAGCCTTCAAGCTGCAGGACACGCTGTTGGAACCGCATGGTCAGTCTTCAAGATCCGGAACGTATTGAACCCTGCGAGCTCTATGAGTGCAGTGGCGCTGGCAAAGTCATCTGCCAAGGCGACTGCAGATGATCTGAGAGCAAAGAATGGGAAACATGAGAAGAAGAAGAAGAAGAAGAAAAAGGACAGATATATAGAGAAAAGAATTGAAGGAGTTTGATGGAAAAGACAAATAGCATTTTATTTCTTTCCCTTCTTCATCAGTCTCTAGACATTCTACTTGACTCACTCTATGTAATTTCAATTAATTGATAGAAAAAATGAAGTTTGGTGAATTATTAAGCTGCAGTCATCCACTTATAAGATTTGGTCTGTGCCAAGGTTGACGACTTGGCTGTGTGCTATGGTTGACGACTTGCCATTGTCCACCGTTTGGCGGCTACCAAAAATGGCTGTGTGCTAAGGTTGACGACTTGCCATTGTCCATTGTTTTGGCGACTACCGAAAGTGGCAGTGGAGCTGCCCCCACTGAATGCAAAAGACTATATGTAATGGTCATTCTCAATAGATTGTTGGTGGAGGAAGTGTTCGTCGTTTTCTCTTGAATTGCTTCGAACATTGCACGTAGGTTTTTGTCCCCCTGAATTCGATCGGTTTTCTGATGAAAACCCTTTAAAGACCACAGATTTGATTATTGCTTCTGCATTTGGAGCTTGATTTATTTTGTTCCCACAGTATTCGGAGCTTGATTTGATTCTCTCTCTTGATTCTATTACTATACCATTACGATCGTCATTGAACTATGTAGATTTATGTCTTAGTTGAACCGACAATACTTGAATCTATTTCGATTTGTATAGATCTGTAAACAAATTGACATGGATCGTACGTAATGCTTATATCTTCAAAGAAGTTGTTGGCTTACTTTTCCTTCAAACACAACCAAGGAAAAGATAGAGATAACTTTCATGGTTACGTCGCTATGTGATTCTCATGTTAGTTTAATCATTACTAGGATTTGTTAAAGACTCGTTCTGACCCCTTCATCAAGATTAATATGCTAAGCTTAAGCCTAATTCTTAAGCTTAGTTTTCAAATGAGTGAGAGAGTTTGGGAATGACAAAGCTCAAGTTCGCTTTGAATCTCGAGTTGATTTATCATAAGTTCATGTACATAATTGTTTATAGGATCATGCTCGATTATAAACTCGCAAAATTCCTTGTTCAACCAAACAAACACAGTCCCAACATGGATTAAGAATAAAGAAGCAATCTAATATAAAATGGTACATCTCATACTTGGGAATGATTGGCATGATTTACGCCGCCATGTTTTGTGGATTTTGTCTTGTTTTCTTTGGGTGTCATAAGCACGGCTACAAACAAGTGAAACACCAAACACAAGGATCATAAAGCCAACATCTCCACACGACGAGCAGACCACAGCTTCGTCTTAATTAGGTCCATTTGATTTAATTAGGGTAAGTTGCATTTTTATTGTAAGGTTTCCTGCGTGCAAATTTGTGACAATCTATGTACCATAATTAACTCAAAACCAATATTATCTCTAAATTAGTATGTTGTGATGCAATATTAGTTTTTTTGGAGTAATCAGATATATGCTTTACGTAATCGAACTGTGATGGCGGAGGTTGCGACAAAAGAAACCATGAAGACAAGACTGTGATGTGAAGGAGGAAGAGAAATGGACAACAACACACAACAACTCAGTATGGGCGTGGGGGACAAAAATTCCATCCAAGAAAGAAAATGGAGGACAAAAAGAAAAGGTTTCTTGATGACCAGCACTCTAAATCCCAAACCATCTGCTTGTGCCAACAGAGAAGAGCAACTGGAAAGCTTAGAAAGGTAGTTGACATCATCAGTGCATCCTCATCAACTGTTATCAAGAATCCTCCATAACTGTTACCAGCAGAGAGAGAGAGAGAGAGAGGGTGGTGATAAGGGTTGGGCATGAAGGATTGGGGTGATGGGTCACTTGAGGAGGCAAAGGAATGGAAGATGTTGGATCATTCCGAGTGATAATATATCCATCACCATATGACAAGATCTTAGTAGAAAAATTAACAGAATATTCCTGAGAATATCCTTACCACCAATATGTCACACAAGTATAGGAATAGATAATGAATACGTATGTGAAGATCCTAAACGGGAGTGTTAGCTTTGTCCGAAACATTAAATACATGGCTAGCAGTACATTCGAGCATCAAAGATACGAAGCAAAGTTGGCGAGGATTCTTTGACTGGGACCTAAACAGGCGGAAGCCCGCCTGAAACCAGAAACAGCAGCATGCGTCCACCCACAATGTACTGCCCCACGTTGGTTCCAACCTACCCGAGTATAATAATGCAATGGCCACCTTTGATTCAACTGGTTTTTTTAGGTAGCGATGACATGAGGAGAGAGGGAAGCCTCCTCCAATCCACTCCTCCCATGTCATCCTTTTCTGCTCACCAACTCGACTTGAAGTCTCCCCCCCCCCTTCAACCATATATAGCTGGAGCGAGGAGGGGGAGGAAGGTCGAGGATTCTATTCTTGTAGGTTCTGAGGTGAGATGGGGAGGTCTCCATGCTGCGAGAAGGCCCACATCAACAAAGGAGCATGGACCAAGGAGGAAGACGACCGCCTTGTAGCTTACATCCGCGCCCACGGAGAAGGGTGCTGGCGCTCGCTCCCCAAGAAGGCCGGCCTTCTCCGGTGCGGTAAGAGTTGCCGCCTGCGCTGGATCAACTACTTGCGCCCCGGCCTCAAGCGTGGCAACTTCACCGAAGTAGAGGACGAGCTCATCATTAATCTCCACAGCCACCTCGGTAACAAGTGAGTGATCACTGTGCTTGCGATCATAAACTACGATGGACTATAACTATAGCTCTGATGTGATTCTAAATGGAAACTCCGATGAGCTGCTCAGGTGGTCTCTTATAGCTGGAAGGTTGCCGGGAAGGACAGACAACGAGATAAAGAACTACTGGAACACGCACATCAGGAGAAAGCTGTTGAGTCGAGGAATAGACCTGGAGAAGCACCGTTTGATCCATGCGCCCGTATCGGGCTTCACTATGTCTTTCGCAAAGGGTGAGGAGAAGGATAGGAGCCTTCTTCCATGTGAGCAAGAGAAGATAATTGGCAGCAGCAGCAGCAGCTGTAGTAGCAGCAGCAGGGAAGGGTCATGGCAGATCCAGAAGTACAGGTGTCCGGACCTCAACCTGGACTTGTGTTTAAGCCCTCCTCCGTCACGGCAGCAAGTAGAAGAGTGCACACGTTGTTTTAGCCGTTGCAGGGGGCTTCAGCCGACGAGGAAGAAGTGCAAATGTGATGCCTTTCTTGGGCTCGGATCAGGGTCGTGCAGAAGCCTTGAGATGAAATGAACTGCGTATCCCGCCATCTCTCTTCTTCTTCCCTTCTCAATTTGTTTTCCTGCCTGTAACAATACCTTTATAATCTTATTTTCCTTGATACTCGTCAAGACCTTCGTATGTTATCTTATGCTTCGATCTCTCCGTTCCTTTATTTGATGTTGTGGTTGCAGAAGAAAATTACTGGAATCTTGTCTGGCAGAGTCATTCTTGTACTCTTCTTTGTATTATTAGAGTTTACTGTATTGCTATTTTCTATTTTTGTTTCTTTTTTACCTAAAAAATCCTGTCCATCGTTAGATTAAGCAAATGCAGTATAATGGTCATTGTAGATGAAATCTTTGGGCCCAAACCAGCAAAATTAGGTCCAAATCTTGTTGATCCACCAAAGAAAACTCACATTCTCTCTCTGTCTTATTATAATTGCTGCTTCCTTTTGTTTTAATATATGATAATGACATTAACCAGTGTCTATATCTTGTGCGCTAATGATCGTCTTCTTACTGCCACGAAGCTTACTTGAAACTTTGGACTATCACCTAAATCATAAGCGAGTAAATTGGCAATGATGTCTCACTACGTCTCAGTACCAAACACTTGTGTTACCTCCCGATTAGTTTAGTACCAAGCACGTATCAGTCAGTATCAATACGTCATGTCTTCATAAATTATACGTAAAGAAAAGACAAATTGGTGAATAGCATGACAGGCCGGAGTGCTTTCACCTATATTTTAGCCTATTGAAAGTGGTAACTTGCAATCCGAGCATCTTATGACTGCAGGCGTCGAGGACTACACAAAAGATTACATTAAAAAATATAATTAAAAGATTACATAAAATACTCAAGGTTCATGAACCTGAACATCTTATGACTGCAGGCCTATCATGATGTTTGATCTAAAATTTATTTCGCCACACCTATCATTCGGAAGGATCAATCAAGGGCTCAATCGTTGACACTCCTGTATATGCTTACGATTTATCAAGCCTTAAACATAGCTCATATTTTTTAGGAAGAAAAAGTTATCTAAAGGATTCTGAGAGACTAGAGATAAGCATATGAAAGTCCATGTTGTAGAGACGGCTTTAATCCTACAAGATGTAAAAAGAAAATTTAAAAAAGGTGATCCAAATCCAATTTTATTTATAATATAATTAATTTAATTATATTGACTAATATTTTGCATCTTGCATATTTATGAGAAGTTTGTTAGTGATGAAGAAGCGATTGCTATTTTGGCTTCAAAACTGAAGAATTTATAGTAAGTGTTACAAATAATTGATTGTTAAATTAAATAACTATAAATGATTGAATTTTTATTTGTTATTTATAGGACAAGTTGTTCTACGTTTTGGAAAGACAGAATCATGATGTATGAATATAAATCATTTTGGAATTTGTTGGTTGTGGGAGAATTTAGTGATGGAGAAGTTATAAATGCCTATCAATTTATTTTTTGTCATAAAATTATATAATCAGGATAAAAATTTTAATCATCTTTGTTCTTTGTGGAGTGATTTTGAGGTAAACTAGTATATTTGGTTTTTGTTCTTTAATTTATATTACTTTGTGATTGATCAACTAATATTTTTATTGGTTTTTAATTATAGGTAGCATATCATGCATTTGAGATGAAGAATTGCAAACTCAATTGCTGGATGGCTCCATTAGGTATATTTTTATTCCACTTTATAGTAATAACCATTGGCATCACCTAGTGATAGATCTTTAGGAGAAGATTTATTCCCATTACAATTCTCCCCCAAAAATATCACATTCGAACATATTTAGATTAATGGTAAGCGTTCTAATTTGACTAGTTATACTATCAGAATATTTATCTTATATTAAGTAATTATTTATTGAGAAATAGGTAAAAAAATTCAAGGACATATCCATAGAGAAGATTATTACTAAGGGATGAAAGACAAAGATAGTCAAATGTCCTCAACAAGATGGATCATAAGTAAATCATGTTATTCACATTGGTCAAGTTATGTAATTATTATACTAATTTATTTTATCACTATTTTCATAGCAATGAATGCACAATATTTGTGATGAAGTACATGGATCACTTGCTGATGGACAAAGACATGAAATTTAGCCAATGAGAAATGTAATTGTTTAGGTTCCAAATTGTCAATGCTATATTAAAGGACTGTTATTATGTAACAAGACACAGAGATATTTGAGCAACTATAATTGGATGGGTGTTGTTATTGACTTGTATGATGGCCTCTATGGATAACTTGCTGATGGACCAAGATATGAAATATTTCCAATGAGAAATGTAATTATTTAGGCTCCAAATTGCCATTGCTATATTAGACGATTGTGATTATGTGACAAGACACAGAGTTATTTGAGCAACTATAATTGGATGGGTGTTGTTATTGACTTGTATGATGGCCTCTATTGTTTTAGAAATTGTTTGACAATGTCAAATTGGTTTGGAATTCAATCTGATTAATGTTAATGTGAATTTCTTCCATGTCGTGTTAAAGCTATTATCCATAAGTCTCTCTCTCTCTCTACTGTGATTGATTGTATGTGGTTATTATGTTTCTCATACGTGTGTTAATTTAGGATTCTTCATTTTCCAAATAGGTTATTTTGAATTGAATCTGAGATGTAACTCGAATATGACCCGAGTATAACTCTAGTATAACTTAAGTATAAATATTGAATTTATTCCCAAACTTACCTAATTTTTTTAACTGTAAAAACATGTTTCTAACAGATTTTATATTTTTTTTATTTTAGAGTCGTATGTGGCTAAATATGAGATTTTTAAATTGAATCTATGATCTAGTATAACCCAAGTATAACTTATGTGTAACTCAAGCATGAATATCTCCAATCATTCTCAATCCTTCTTAAGCTTCTCTAAAGCTATGATAACATATTTTTATATTTTTATTTTAAAATCAATAGGCGGTGAGATATCGGGTTTCTATATTGAATTTGTGATCCACTACAACCCGAGTGTAACTTGAGTATAATTCAAGTGTAACTATCTCTAAATGTCCTCCATACCTACTCAAACTTTAGAAAAGCGATATTAACATGTTTCTAACATGTTTTATATTATTTTATATTTTTTATGATTTAATAGTCAATAAATGGTGAAGTAGAAGATCTTTACATTGAATCTATGATCTAGTGTAACCTCAGTATAACTCAAGTGTAACTCAAGTATAAATATATTTAATTATTCTTAAATCTATTCAAAAATTTTTAAAACTATAATATTATGTTTCTAACATATTTAGTAGAATTTATCCTAGCTTTTTTTATTTTTAGATTATTTTAAATTTTATTATTTTGAAGAAGAGTACTACAATTATTGGCGATACTATCACCTAATCTAAGGGTGGTGCCACCCCTCTAATTCAATACATCACTGTCTAATGGTGGTACTATCACCACTATAGTGTTATACTATGATGAGTGTATCTACGATATAACACTAGTGTAACTCTATTGTCCACTTGAGTTACAATAAAGGTAATAGATTCAAACTTAGAACCAAATTTTTATTTTGGTTAAAAATTAATCCAAATTAGAACCAAATTCTCCATAACTATCATAACATGACTCTAAGTTAATTTGTCCCAATTTTTATTTTTAAGATAATTTTAGTATAATTATTGGAATTTGGCACGCGATCATCCCAACGGAACATATCTCATTCAATAAATCTACTATTCAAATATCATCAAAAATATTTGTATAACAAAAATTATAACATCAATTATAAACTAGTAACTTCATATTCAAAATTATTACAATGTCTCATAATGTTGTGGCACACTTATTGAAAAATTATATCCGTATACTTGTATACATATACTATACATAAAAAATCACCCCTTATAACTAATATAGATAACAAAAGACTAATCAAAACTAGGCTATACAAAAAGATTGAAGAAACAATATTGCTTTATATTTTAGAACATTAACTTATACAACCGATGAAAAAATGCATAACCATCGATTGTGATTTAACCATTGTGTCTCAATTCGATCCTTGCATTCTTTCTTCTGCTCGGTGGTTTTACTCTCTTGGAAGGTAAGATAATCCTATCATTAGGTTCTTTTAACCCAAGACTGCTTGCTTCTTGTTGGGAAGATGGTGTCACTATAATTCTTCTTCAATATTCTGCCAAAAATTAATCCTCATAATAGCCATATGGATTGGAATTCAAAAATCCAGTAGCCACTATTGCATGAGAGCATGGAATAATAAATATATCAAAACACCAACATAAACTATTTTAGTTTTTCAGGTCTACTATGACTATCTCAATAGATGTTTAGACCTAGAAAATATTATTCGAGTGAGGGTGAATAGTGTAGAATCTAGCCTTATCTTTTGATTTTGAAATTTCTTGGAGATGTTAATGTATAGATCATAACATTGCCAATTTAATGATGCAAATAAAACCACTCAACGACTTTCCTTTGTGTCATCTTGATTATATATGTTATTGATAGTCTAGGTTATCTTTTAGCAATGGATTCATGCTTTCGGAATCATTTATTGTTAACATTGCATATCATCATCCCGTAAAAAATATAGTAGCCCACTTCTCTTTATCTATTTTTGAAATCCAATGATAATTTTTTATATATTTTTTTATCAGTTTTCATATACATTCATTAAACTTAAACCCAATAAGTACTCCTGCGATAGCCTAAAAAGGTTTTATTGTTTCCATATTATATACGTCACTTATTAAATTTGTCGAAAGATGGATCATACAATAACCATGATGAGCCTCTGAAAATATTTCTTTCATTGCTATAAGAATTTCTGAATTTTTATCCCTAACGATATTTAAATAATCGTAATGTGCACCAAAGCATTTTCCCAACTAAAAAACAAATATTCCCACAAGTCTCTCCCCTCAATCTCTGTTATTTCAAATATGATAAGAAATAACTTACTAGATCCATTAATAGTAGTAGTAATCATTAATACAACAAGATATTTTTTAGATAAATGTGTTGCATCTATACAAATAATTGGATGAATGAGCTGAATAAAACTATGCAAACATGCACAGAATGCCCAAAAACCTAACAAAAATGTCCTTCCC